TCTTCTGTACAGACTGCTAACTTAGTGAATGCAATGGCGGTTGAGTTCTTTGACTGTCTCCACGAGCAGATTGCCTTGGTGAAAAGGAACGAAGAGCTAAGCCGCCAAAAGGAGGAGGCGGAGAAAAACTTCGGTGAACTGACCTCGGAGCTGGAGAAGGTCAGGGAGGAGTTGGCCAACTCGAGGAGGGTTGCCGAGTTGCAGGAGCAGAAAAGGAAGAAGTGCGATGAGGCACTTACAGGGAGGGAGAGTGAGCTGGCCGAAGTGGAAAAGGCTGCCGAGCTGGCGGTCCACAACTCTGTGGAGGAGGACATTTCGGACTTCGTGAAATCTGCCACATTCACCGAGGTGGTGGACCTCTACCGTTTGCCAACGTTGGTAATGGCCTTCGCTGACTGTCGTAAGAAGGTGAAGGCGCAGAATCCAGAGGTGGACGTGACAAGCATTACTTTTGGACTTGAGGAGGCAGGGGTAGAGGAGAACGGGGATAGCAAAACAGCGGAGTTTCGTCCTGAGGTGAAGTTGACTTGGGAACGGGACGAGGCTGGGGAAACTATCCTCCCACCGACGTTGGACTTCGAGTTCGTCGCTGTGGACGAGGAGGAGGCCGAGGTGGCACCAAGGACGGAGGTGGCGGACAACATCCGAAATGAAGAAGTGGACCAACAGCTCCAGATCATTGATTGAGCTCGGCCAGCTCATCCTTTGTAATTGTTACAATTTTTAGGTTATGTAAAGAACGATGTGTATTTCAATTGGAATGAATGGATTGAAATTTTGGAAATGTATGGTGTGTATTATGGTAGTATTAAAATGACTTCTGACAGAAAAATTGTAACGAACTTAAAAAATAATATAGCAGGTGAAAAATACAAACTATTTGACCTCGGATAGGAAGAGATTGGAAATGTAACTTTAAAGACGGGGTAGAAGTCGACATGAGAGCGTGAGCTCTGCTGATAAGAATTTGGATAAAATGAAGTTTTATTACAGATAAAACTTCTTTAAATTATTTACATTCCAAACCCTAGGTATTCTTTTACCCTCAGCGTCTACAAGTATGTAAGCGTCGAGGTGTGGGATTTCAGCTACTACATATGGGCCTTCCCAGTTGGGCGCAAGCTTGCTGGAGCGAGTTTCGAAGCTGGTGAGTCATGCCTTTCTGAGGACGAGGTCACCAACTCTAAAGGTGCGAGGTCGGACTCGCCTGTTGTACGAGTTGGCCAGCTTCTGTTTGTATGCTAATGTCCGAAGTCGAGCTTCCTCGCGGACTTTGTCCAAAAAATCGAGGTTTTCCCTGAGTAACTGCTCATTTCAAGTGTCGTCGAAATGGGTCACTCTTAGGCTTGGGACGCCCATTTCGACAGGGATGACTGCCTCGGTTCCAAAAGCCAAGTGGTAGGGCGTTTCGCCTAAGGAGGAGGGGTTGTGGTTTTAGGGTTCATTTTATATAGCGAGTAATGATATCAGAGTGAAAAGCTAGTTAAGTTGCGTACCTGTGGCTATCCGACTCGTAGTTCGGTAGGCCCACAGAATATTGTTAAGCTCGTCCGCCCACTTAGCTTTGACTTGATCTAGTCTCGGCTTAATCCCTTCTAGGATGGCCTTATTGACAGATTCAACCATTCCGTTTGCCTCAGGATGATAAATAGAGGTGAATACCAATTTAATCCCATAGCTGGAGCAGAAGTCTTTGAACGAGGTGCAGTTGAACTGAGGTCCATTGTCGGCCACAACTTGGTTTGGGATTCCGTATCTGCATATGACCGAACTAAAAACAAAGTCTTCAATCTTTCTCGAGGTCAGGCTAGAAAGAGGTCGGGCTTCTACCCATTTGGTGAAATAATTGATTGCTACGACTAAGTGTGTTACGCCCCCTGTGCCCTTCACAAAAGGACCTAAGAGGTCAATGCCCCATTGTGCAAAGGGCCATGGTACCACTAAGGTGGTGAGTTCCTCTGCTGGTTGGTGGGTGAGATGTGCGAAGAACAGGCACTTCGGGCATTTTTGGACATGCTTTTTAGCATCCTCTTGCATGTGTGGCCAGTAGTATCCCTGCCGAAGTACCTTGTGGGCCAGGGTCCGAGCTCCGACATGACTCCCATATACGCCCTCATGCACCTCACAAAGTGCGTACTCGGCCTCATAAGGAGTTAAACAGCGAAGAAGGGGGAGCGAGTATGACCTCTTATACAGCGTACCATCCACCAAGGTGTACCGAGATGCCTTCTTTCGCAACTCATCTCCTCTTGTTTGTCAGTTGGGATAGTCCCATCCTTGAGATAAGCTTTAATGGGATCGGTCCAGCTGGGGACTTCGGGATCGGTGTTGACCTCCATCACTTGCGACCTCTAGAAGCTTGGTTCGTCTAGGACCTCGACAAAAACTGACCTCAGTCCACTTGAGCAGTAGGAAGCTAACTTTGATAGTGAGTCAGCATGGCCATTGTCGGACCTCGAGATTTTGGTGAGTTGAAATCTTTCAAATTGGCTTTTGAGCTTCAGAACCACAGCTAAGTACTTGACAGGGGTGGGATCTGTGACCTCGCATGTAGAGTTGACTTGGTTGACTATGAGTTGTGAGTCACTGTAAACTTGCAGAGATCTGACCTTTAACTCAGCTGCTAAGCGAAGTCCGAGGAGAAGTGCCTCATATTCGGCCATATTATTTGTTGCTTCGAAATTAAATTTCAGGGCATGCTCACTTCGGAAGCTTCCTGGTCCCATCAACACTGCTCCAGCCCTTGACCCTCTGCTGTTTGATGACCCATCCACATAGAGGGTCCATAGCTCGGCCTCAGAATTAGTAGGTTCGGGAGTTGATGTGCATTCTACAACAAAGTCTGCCAAAGCTTGAGCCCGGATTGACGACCTCTGGTTGAATGTTATTTGGAATTCTCCCAACTCCACTGCCCATTTGATGAGTCTGCCCGAACATTCCGGTTTCTGCAAAATCTGTCTGAGGGGTTGGTCTGTTAACACCACAATGGGGTGGGCTTGAAAATAGGGTCTCAATTTTCATGCCGTAGTGACTAGCGCTAGAGCTGCTTTTTCTGCAATGGAGTGCTGCAGCTTGGCTCCTTGTAGAACCTTGCTGGCATAGTATACCGGCTTCTGCTGTTTACCTACCTATTTGACTAAGACGGAGCTTACTGCCGCATCAGCGACTCCGAGATAGAGGTAAAGGAGTTTGCCTTCTTCGGCCTTGGTTAACAGGGGCGGTGAGCCGAGGTACGACTTGAGGTCATTGAAGGTGGTTTGGCACTCTAAGGTCCACTCAAACTTCTTGGACTTCCCTGCCTCATCTTTATGGGCAACGGATCTCAGGATTTTGAAGAACAGCAGGCATTTTTCTACAGACTTCGATACAAACCTGTGTAGAGCTGCGATTCTCCCGGCTAGGCGCTGCATGTCCTTAATTGACTTCGGGGGCTTCATCTCGTCTATCGCCTTGATTTTCTCAGGGTTGACTTCAATCCCTCTCCTGGAGACCATGAACCCGAGGAATTTGTCGGATTCAACACCAAAGACACACTTGGCTGGGTTCAATCTCATGCGGTGTGTTCTGAGGTTGTTAAATGTTTCTTCCAGGTTAGTTAGGTGGTCCTCTGCCTTGAGGCTTTTGACCATTATGTCGTCAACATAGACTTCGAGATTTCTGCCGATCTGAGCTCGGAACACAATCGTCACCATCTTCTGGTATGTGGCCCCAGCATTCTTGAGCCCAAACGGCATCATTACATAGCAGTAGATCTCGTCGCTTGCGTAGAAAGAGGTCTTCACCTCGTCTTCAAGGGCCAGGTGGACCTGGTGATACCCTGAGTAAGTGTCCAAAAGGCTAAGTCGTTCATTTCCGAACGCGGCTTCCACTAGCCTATTTATACTCGGTAGGGGATGGCAGTCCTTGGGGCAGGCGTCATTTAGATTCGTGTAGTCAACGCACATTCTCCATTGGCCGTTTGACTTCTTAACCAGAACGGGATTGGCAACCCATTTGCAGTAGTCTACCCTTCTTACAAACCCGACTTGTAGGAGTTTCTGTACTTCTGACTTGATGGTTTCCAACCGCTCTCCGCCGAACAGGCGTCTTTTCTGGGCCACGGGTTTCTTCAATGGGTGAGTGCTTAACTTGTGGACTGCAACTGAGGTGGGTATGCCTGGCATATCAGCTGAGGTCCAAGCAAACACGTCTCTATTTGATTTCAGAAAGTCAATGAGCTCTGCCCGGTCTTTGGAGCTCAGCTTGGTGCCGATCTTTGTCTCTTTAGTGGGATCATTGTCGTCAAGCTGCACCTTTTCCACTTGTTTTGCCAGAGTGGCTCTGGCTTCGCCTTCAGGTCTGTTATCCAACAGTTCCACACCCATTACTTGCTGTGTGGTTGGGACTTCAGGTTGAGTTGGCTCTGGGTTTGCCACTTGTTTGTCCTTCTGAGGTCGGGAGACCGAAGTCATGTAGCAATGCCGGGCTATCTCTTGATTTCCCCTCAATGTCGCCAAGCCCGTGGGGGTGGGAAATTTCATGCAGAGGTGGGATGGTGAGACAACTGCCCTAATTTCAGTCAGGGTTGGCCTTCCGATGACGATGTTAAAGGATGACGCCATCTTTACTACCAAAAACTGGACTGAAGGGGTTACATAGGTTTGACCTGAGCCAAATGCTATATTAAGTTTGAGGATTCCTTCCACAGGCACTGGCTGATTGTTGAAGCCGTAGATGGGGCTGTCATACTTCTGTAGAAAGGCGGGGTCGAGGCCAAGGCTTTCGAAGCAATGATAGTACATGATGTTCGGAGCACTTTCTGTGTCTACAAGGACGCGCTGAACTTCGCAATTATTGACCATGACCGAGGTGACCAACGGATCATTGTGTGGTGTGACAACACCATCAAAATCAACGAAACTGAATGTTATGGGTTGGTTCTTCCAGTCTGTCTCGTCAAATTTTCTTTTTTGAGCCCGGTTTGGATGCTTCACCTCGCGCACATACAGCTTCTGCTGCTTTAAGCTTGTCCCTCCGGCTTCCAGCCCTCCTGTTATCATGTGAATGATGCGTGAGGGCGGAGGGAGTGGAGGTGGTGCTTGTTGATATCCAACTTCAATTCGGTTGTTTGCATCTCGAGATGATTGAGGTCGTCCCTGTTCCCAGACAAACTTGAGCTGGTCCTTGTTGGAGACGTACTCACTTAGCAACCCTTTCCGAACTAAACCCTCAAGCTCGGACTTCAAGCTGTTGCATTCCTCCGTGGTGTGCCAGTGATCCTGGTGGAAATCACAATATCTGCTCTGATCTCTTGAGGCGGGTGAGCTTTGCATAGGAAGAGGCCTTCTGAGCTCCATTTTGTTTTTGATTTGCATTAAGATCTGTGACCTTGCAGGTTAAACGGAGTCCAAGCAACTTGCTTTGCCATAGGCGGCGGGGTAGGTACCGGAGGTCTGTCCAGCTTAGGTGGGAAGGGGCCCTGGTATTGTGTAGATTTAAATCTTTTCTTGTTCTGTCCTTCATCTCTCCAGATCAGAGGTCTGACCTCTTTACTTGGAGCTGGTTTGCCAGACAAAGCATATTCCTCGGCTTGGATAAATTTCCAGGATCTTTCATTGGTTTCATCAAATGTGGAAGGGGCATGCTTTATGAGGCTATCTCGAAACCTCTCATGCTTGAGGCCCTGGGTTAGTGCAGCTAACCCGACAGCTTGGCTAAATGAGCCGATTTCCAGCACTGCATCATTAAATCTGTTCATGTAGTTCTTTAAGGATTCACCTTCTCTTTGGGCCACCCGCATGAGCTCGGATGTTGTTTTCTTGATCAGCCGGCGACTGGAAAACTTCGTGGCAAAGGATGCCGCCAGCTTGGCGTAAGAACTGATCGAGTTCGGCAGCAAACTGTAATACCAAGTCCACGCGTTTCCACGCAGGGTAGAAGGGAATATTTTGCACATCAAGGCGTCTGAGGCATTTTGAGCTTGCATTACGGAATAGAATGCGTGCAAGTGATTATCAGGGTCCTTGGTACCATCATATGTCTCAAACTAAGGCATTCTAAACCCAGGTGGGTAAGGTTCATGAATGATGTTGGTGTTAAGAGGGGTAGGGATAGGGGCAGAACCTTACTGAGCCGGGATTTGGGGACTTCGGTTGTCGGGCACCATTGGTTCTAAGTGCGGTTGGTTGGGAAGATCTGAGACAGCCGGTTGGGATGGTTGCCGAGGTTGAGGTGCCACATGGGAATGAGCTTGAGACTCATTGGGGGGTGGAGCGGCAGGCCGAGCTGGTGAACTGACGTTTTGTTGAGGCTAGTGGTTTTGTGCTTGATTGGTGGGATTTAATAAGGTGATGAGGGGGTCACCCGGGTTATCTCTAGCTAATAGTTGGGCGAGCACGAGTTGAAACACACCGAACTACTGTTGCATGGCATTAAGTTGGGTGGCTATGGGGTCGTTCGGGATTCCTACTGAGTTTGGATTATTTTCCCCGGTCCCTTCTATGTGCTGGTGCTGGGCTGGAGGAGGTGATACGGGGTGAGGTGTGGAGTTCCCGCTGAGGAACTGATCTCTTCCGTGCCCTTGTTGAGGACTTCTGTGGTGCGTTGAGCGCGCGTTAGCCATTGTAACAGCCACTAGCAAAGGCTTTTAGCTCGGTTTCCCACAGACGACGCCAATGTAGTTGCAGAGAACTGGGAGGTACTTCGGATCTTAAGTCTTCACTTCGGCTATCCTGCAAGGCCTCGAGGTTGGTTCTCGGGGTAAACACTCCGATGCTTAAGTTAGCTATAATCAGAGCTACCAGTTATGGAAATGAGGGTAAAAGATGAGTTTAGAGTTAGTTTTTATACCTCTGTGAGGGGGACCCTGGGGGGTATTTATAGGCCTTCAAAGGGGTGTCCACGTGTTGAGTCTTCCGAGAGATCAGGACAACAGGTGTCAAACATCGCAGGTGCTTCTCATGAGAGACTAGTGTGCGTACGGAATTGCTGTGGAGCAAGAGTAGAGGGGACGAGCTCGAGTGCGATCGAGCTCGTCACCCTTCAATCAGATCGAAGCAGCTAGGTATTGGAGGCTGCTCTGACTGTCCGAAGTTGTGCACCACGGATAGCTGCGAGGTGCATGACTTTGGACTGCGCTTCGTGCCTCATCTCATGACCTCTGGCTGGCGTCATACCTCTGCTATCTCATGACTTCTGTCGTCATACCTCTGTTATCTCATGACCTCTGTCATCATACCTCTGTCTACCACCACTACACCATCTGCATTACATACCTTCTTCTCATGAAAATTTGTCAAGTTTAACCAAATGTATTATGTTATCTGTATACATCTGTTCTGATTCCAATTATTGTAACAAACTTTTTTAATTAAGGTTTCATAAGCATCGATTGCGGGCACCGAGGATTAACAAGAAAAGTGATGTCTATAACTTTGGAATAATACTAATACTTGGTCAGTTGTTGACCTGTGATAATAAGAGGTGAAGGATACAATATTAGCATAATTGAGTGG